AACAACCGAGTCATCTTTCCAGCACTAAATCCTGCTTTTCCAGGCACTGGAGAAGAATGGAGTTGATATACTTCATGAATTATCATATTTAGACATTTTCGACATGACCATTGGAGCAGCCACTCATGAACTGCTTTTATGCAATGGGCAATCTATAGCATCAAGCTTTCTGTTGGTGACTTGCTGATGCTTTTGTTGGAGCCCATGGAATGTTTCCTACAGTGAAGATCTCCACTGGATTTGACTACTAGCCCATGTTTTCTTTCACAGATCTGTAGAGTTGTGTTTAGAGAAAGGCTCCGAGCTGGACTGTTACTTCCTTTTAGATTCATTCACAAGGAGTTTTGGAACTTGTCCCATGTGACAGAAAAGGCTTTTGATTCACAACTCAGAAGACTTTTTCTTTTCTTTGTCTGGTGATAAATGCAGGCAGACATTCACACTCCAGCAGTGTGCTTGGCCTGCCCTGTAGTGTAGCAAAACCAGTCAGACGATGTTTAAAGTGAAGGGAATTTCATACATGTAGACAAAGGAGATTGTGCAAAGCACACATTCTTGGTAAATTTTCATGTACATCTTTTTCAAAGAATGTGCTCTTTGTGCTGTTGGCTACAAAAAAAAAAAAAAAAAAAAAAAAAAACCCAAAACCAAAGAAATGACTTAAGAGAACATCAAAATAAATTCTGAGGAGATATTCATATGTTGAAAGAAAGGAGTTTTAGTGGCGAGTCTCATTTTTAAGACAGCTGTGTAACCTTTAATTCACACGGACATCAACACATCTGTCAAAGACTGCTTTCCCAACACTCTGACGGCTAGAATTTTATCTCTTCACCATTAAGATTTCTCCAGAGAGCACAGTGCTGCATCATTTTGACAAATCTGAACGGGAGGAGATGAACACTGCTCATCTCGAAAACACATCAGGGCGAATGCCTTTAACCAGGCTCCTGTTTTCAGAGACCATTTTTCCATCATCACTTCAGATCTATCAATGTTCCTTTACTCCCCTTAAAAGCTATATTTTATATAAAGTGTAATTCTCTCCTCAATGGCTCTCCCTGCTCTGGGATCTACTGCTACATTGACAGATATTCTTACCTGCCTGGGTCACAAACTCAGGTGCAGTGGGAAGATGAAACTGCAAGGATGGAAAAGAGGCCTTGTGCTTCAGTCACCAACCAGGGAGCCTCAGATCAATAGCTATCTTTGCTCTCTGGAAATCCCTTTCCCTGACTGGCAGGGGAGAACGTCTTTGTGTTTTCCTGAGGAAACACGCATGGCTGTGGAGGGAAACCACTTGTGCTTTTCTGTTGAACTACCTTTGGCAGTTAGAGAATGACTACTTAATTATCAGAATGGAAAGTATATCAAATAACCAGGTATGGTGTGTGCCCATAATCTCAGCACTTAAGAGATGAAAGGAAGGTCTATATCCAGCTATGGCTATGGCTAGAAACCTGCAGCTGGTTGATGGGAAGAAGCCATGAGTTGTGGTGATGTACACTTGTAAACTCAGCACTTGGGAAATAGAGCCGGATGATCTCTGTAGGTCTGAGGCCAGCCTGGTCTACATTGTAGGTTCTAGGCTAGCCAGGGCTACACAGAGTGATCATGTTTCCAACAAACAAATGAACAAACAATCACAAAAACATCAAAAATCGTCAAAGAATTTGTTGATCTACAGGAGAGGAATGATAAACCCATGGACTAGTAAGGATTACAGTTTGTGGCCAAAGATGGCCCACTGTCTATTTTGATTTCATGAACTAGTTTTTTGAAATTCTACACTGTGATGTGTGCATTTCATAAGCCTGAAAAAATGGTAAAAAGATTAATACTATTACTACAACACTTGAAAATCATATCGAACTCACACTTTACAATAAAACTGTATTAGCTGTTGCAACCAGTTGTTACTTTACTGACTGTCACTCTTTTGTGCTGTGTTGACACTGAGCTAACATATAACTGAATGACTGTGATAGAGACCACGTTATTAACAATACTCCAAGAATTTACTCACTGTTCTTTGCACAGTATGCAGACCGCTGGGCTACACTCCTGCAACAAGTTATAGCTGTGCTACTTAAATACTTAACTGTAAGATAAACAGTTATGCTATAACAGTTAGCAAAACAATTATGAAGAGTTGTATATATGAAATGGTCCTATTTTTTCCTTTGTGTAGTTTTTGCTTCTTTGTCCTGGGAACAAAGTAAGCTTCATGAGAGCAAAAACAAAAGTTGACACCTGTGTGTTCATAATTTAGTTCTAGTCTCTAAACACTGTGTGACATATAGTAGTTGCTCAGAAAATAACAAGATTGGCCGAAGGCTGATGTGCTGTGAGGTTGTAGGAGGTGCACACATAGGAAAGCTGATATAAACACTTCTTTTTTATGTATTTATGTTAAGCACTAGGATGATGATTTTATTTATTTGCCTTATTTTTTCATTTAATTTATATATGTCAACATAAAAATGATACCTGTTAGTGAATTATAATGTTCAAATCAGGCCAAACTGATTTGATCCGTCATGCTGATCTTACACAGTGTGTGGCTATACACAATAATCATACCCTTAATATTTCCAAAAATCTTGAGGAAGGGATTTTTCAATGTTTACACCTGGAAGACGTGAAAAAAGTTTGATTAAACATATTTCTCTTTAATACATATTCTTATTTAATAATAGCAAAGTCAGCTCACAAAGAATCGTGATGGCTCCTATGTTATAAAGGAGGAGACAGGCTTGGGAAGGCCTTGTTTTCTGTGTAATGTCTCAAAGCAAGGAGGTCATAGACCAGACAGCAAAAGTCTATTGGGTTCCATGGTCTATGCTTCAGCCATGAGTTAACCATATTCTCTTCCTAAATTTCTAAAACTATGTTTTTATTCAGGGGAGAGTGAAAGGGGCAGGAAAAGTATAAAACAAAACATGGTGGTTTGTGGTAACAAGCTATACATGCTCACGTAGAATTTTTTTTCATTGTGTACATTGAGAGATTTATTTTTATTCAGTTTTATAGTAAGGCATGGACATTCTTGAAGATTAGGAGATAGCCTAGAAGGTTTCTCTGACTTCTATAGACCACTTCTTGCTCCTATTGGGTTGTACAGGAAATAGCTGCCTGCCTGTCCCTTGTTGTGACTGTGCTGTGACATTCAGTTAGGCTTTAGTCACCTTTGAACACTTCCTCACTCTGAGATGAAAAGTGCTATTTGTGAGTCACGGTTTCAAGGACATTGGCTCACAGCCTCTTGCAGCCCCGTATCCTGCGTTTTTGTCTCTGAAAGCTGTGTGATATTGTCTATTCATATTTGGTGATATAGGCTCTATTTGTGTTCCCCACAAGATATGTATTTTATTCTCTCTCTCTCTCTCTCTCTCTCTCTGTCTGTCTCTTTCACACACACACACACACACACACACACACACACACACACACACACATCAGCACAGTATTTAGAGTATACACAATTGTCTTTGTCTTCTATCGTAGAATGTAATTAGGTCTCAGGAGTCCCAGTTGCTTAGGAAAAGGATATAGAAAGGAGGAATGTAATGCTAAAAATAATGTTCCTTTGGGTTAGCTTGAGGTTCTTTTCTAATCTTAACTGAGTGGCAGTGACTGTGCCATATTCTGTATAAGCCAAAGACCTTCCTCATGCTCTGATCTACATTGTTGGCGAAATGGAGAGTGAGTTTTCCTTGTAACAGGCTGGGATCAGGGCAATTTAGAATGATTGAGTGCATTTAACACGGTTGGTGCCACCAGCTTCAGAATGGGTCAAGCAGCTGGCTGTTTCCTGCAGATAAGAACACTGTGAGATGCAAGCAAGAGTTGAGTTGGTAGCTGGGCGAAGAAAGTTGTAGATTCCAAACTTTCAAGGCTGTTTCAAAGGGCTTTCAGAAATTCCCGGGGCATGCCTGGACATTCTGGTCAGAATTCCTTACTGCTCTATTGTTCAGGCTTGCTTAGAGTTAAGGGGACTTTTTAGATGTTTGTAATTGAGTTGTTTCCTTCAAGAGCACTGCACTGACTTTTGAGTTATAAGCAATCCTGCTCATCACCATCTCTGTGACTTTTTTTTTTTTTTTGGTTAAAATGCATGCTTGCCATGACATTTCTGCTTGTAAGCCTGAAATGTTGTTCAGTAGACTCCATCGTGATCTTTCCTGTTGATGATGACACCACTGGGAACTTAGCATGCTTTATTTGGTTTAGCAATGATAGACATTGCATTTCTATGCAGTGACTGAGATCCAAACAACTTGAGTGGCATTTTAATAAATATCAACTATGAGCACACAGTTGAAGAAATGACATTTGCTTAAAGATACCTTATGAGGTTATGTATGAATATGTAATCCTTTTCCAAGAACACTGCTGTGCTTGCACGCTTCCTATCAGAAAAGGAAAACAGAAACAAAAACAGTTCTTTCTCCTGCTTTCCTTCTTTGGAGACTCCGGTAATTGATATGAAGCATACAATTTCTCTTTGAAATTTGTGAATTCTAAAACTTCTCCCCATCCCTGGCATCCTGGTGTAGCCTCCAAAAATCAGACAGCTGTTATTACAAACAGAGGCTGCTCTGCTCAGACCCTGAATAGACAATTATAAATGTCTGGATTCTTTCCTTTCTTGTGGTGGTTGCTTTTAGATGTGGAATCAAAACAGACTAACCAACCAGAGGAGGCTTGAGCGGTGATTAGTAGCCTGCTCCTGCCACATACGCACATTTTGTTAAATTTTCTCCTCATTGTCTGTAATAACTTTCCACTTTATAAGACTTATAACTGACCAGGAATATCATTGTTATTAAAATATCAAAACTTGTGAATACACAGGGATCATGGAATTTGTTTAATCAATGTCCCACATTGAATGGGTGAGAGTGAGGGTGTGGAAGAGTGGATGAACTTCCCAAGGGCACTTGTCTACTCAATAGAGCAGCATGCTGAGTTCACTGTTTGCTTTTCTGATTCTGTAGATGGCCGCCCTCGTCCTATCGTTCTCTGGGACTCATCTCTAGCATCTGCAAGCAATGATAGTCATTCTTCTGTTAAGATCACGTGGGGAACATATCAGCAGTCACTAAAACAGAAATGCTGGCTGAATGGCCGGGTTCCCAGACCTGAGTGGGGCTGCACTGAAATCCATCACCATGAATGGTCCAAGATGGCTCTCTTTGATTTTTTGTTACAGGTAAGTCTATCTGGTTCCCTAAGTGGTTGTCTAAGACTGACAGTGTTTTCAGGTCTCAAAGGAATCTTCAGTACCTGGAGTTTCTATGAATTTGCAGTTTAAGTTCTACTGTGCTGCATTTGGCCAAGTACAACATACATATTATAAAATTTTATATTCTTCTAGAAGTTTCTGTCCTGCCCTGTCCTTCAGCCATTCAGTCCTAAATAAACACACAGAGGCTTATATTGATTATAAAGTGTCCCTATTGTTCAGTCTTATTACTAACAAGCTCTCACAACTTAAATTAACCCGTAATTCTTATCTATGCTTAGCCATGTGGCCTGGTACCTTTATTCAGTGTGGGATTCTCATCTTGCTTCATTTGTGTCTGACTGGCAACTGAATCTAAAATTTCCAGAATTCTCCTATACTTCCTGCCTGGATAATGGCCAATCAGCATTTTATTAAACCAATACAAGTGACAAATCTTTACAGTGAGCAAGAGGATTATCCCATATCAGATGATTGTGGATATTCTTTTAAAAATTACTTTCTAAAGAAATAATCTACTGGCTAGCCTGCAATTTACCCACTCATCCATCCTGTATAGCTACAATGTATTGTGCTATGGGGTTATGTTTCACCATATTCTGTGGCCAGCTAAAGTTTGATGAGGATGGGTATCTCATTCAAGTTCTAACAATTACTGAGAATACACATACACATATACCATGATCATTATCTTTACTACCACACTCCAAATTTTTTGGTGTTTGCTTTCTTTGGAAGTAGAATAGTTAGGAAACCATAATATATGAAATGAAAGCCAGTTCCATATCAGAATTTCTGGCTGAAATTAGTTCTGATTGTTCTGAAGTCAAAAGAGGGAGAACATGTGCCACAAAATAATGAAGAGAAATTATTTGAGTAGAAGTAAAATTAGAAAACTGTAGAAAAGCATGAGAGGAACATGTATATGACAATGCTTCATAGTAATTAATCATCTTAAATATGCCATTTAAAACATAGCCTTTGTCCAAGCAAGTGCTGGGGCTTCCTGCCTGTGGACATAGGAAGTAACACAAGGGAATGACTCCTTTTCACAAGTATGTGTGGATTGTGTCACCCTATTGTTCATTACCCTAACTAGCCAGAACAAAGTCCTTCTGAGAGTACTGGCAGTCTTGACCCCTATAGCGACATTGTTGGCTATCTTGAGTATGAATGTGAACATATGAAATCATCACTGTGAATTTTAAACATGCACACATATTCTATATACCTTGAAATAATAATATAATAAACTTACCACTCATGGAATGTTTAAATTGTGCCAGCATGGTTCTAGGCACTCTGGTTCTAAACACTAAGATAGTAAGTTAGGAACTAAGTACAATTGTTATTCCTAGTTTAGAGATGAGGAATCTGAGGCAAGCATATGTCTACCTCTAATCTTGCCAGGGCCACATGGGTAACATTCACTAGTCCCCAGAGTCAGACTGAGAGTTCTGCATTAAGAATCAAGCCTCCAACAACTGCTAACTTTGTCCCTTGTACAGGAAATAGTACCATCTTCAGCCACTGTTCCAAGCGAAAACTTGAGAAGTCAGCTGTGTGCTTCTATGAGGGCCACATCCATAGTGACCAAAGTCTTGATGTCTCTTGAATTGCTTTCTTGAAGGAATCATTAATTGGCCCCGTCTCAGCTCAATTCTCTGGCCTTTCTTACTTAGATGATTCCCTCTAATCCCTTCAAACTGTATGAGCCAAGATCACTTATGACAAAGGTTGTGGGTCTGCAGGGCATGGCTCTACCTGCTTCTGTAGTCTATGCTGTTGCTCCCTTTACCTGTGGTAGGAAGGTTTTCCTCCTTGAGATCATGAGGAAGAAGTTTAGGCAAGGCTTTTCCAGAACTTGATCAAACCAATATATCAAGTGGGAGCTCCTTACTCTGGTTTTTAAGTCTAAAACTCAGTTTCAAGTTTAAAACTCAGAAGTTGCATTTATTAATTGTCAATTTAACTAGTATTTGCAAATATACATATATACACACATATATACATAGATATGTAAGTAGCATCTGTTAGGAGGGCTTATTTTTTATTTTTCATTATTTCTATGAAAAGGCAAGAGGCTAATTTTCTTTAGATAATGTATTATTTTATCATTTTATGTGTCAGGTCTTCTTCTCTACTGTGGGAAGTAGAAGGTACTATGATGTTTCTGTCAACCAGGGTGATGAGCTCTTATTTGAATTTTTCAGTTTTACATCATGTATGAGATTGAGAATATTATATAATTCAGGTATTTAGTTTGGTTTTAGTAAATCTCTTCTTCAAATCATTGCCATCTTAGAACTTTCCTTGTTGACTAAACTTTGCATATTGTGAAAAGGAGCCCTTATTAATGTCTACAGCTTTCTGTAACATGAACAAAGAACTGAGACAATCAACTTATGAAGAGAAAAGACATGAAGGTTCACAGTTTTTAACATTTCAGGTTGTTGTTGGTTGACCCGATTACTTTGGGTGATAGAGTGTGGTGGAGAAAACCTGTTTATGTCACAGACAGTAAACAAATGACAGAGAACAGAGGGGCCAGCCCCCTACAACTTCCTGTTTATGTTTCCTCAGGACAGATAAACAAACATTTGTCACCTGTGATATATCAAAGAAATGATCCATCCAATCCAGCTTGGTGAGCCAATGTGCTTAGTGACTTTATAGGCAAATGGGGAGGAGGTGGTTACTTTCAATGGTGACAAATATTGCTACATCACCAAAAAGTGGCATATTCTTCATGGGTAGAACCTCATGGCAGCTGAATTGTAAAGTTCAGACTTCTTATATATTCTGGTACCTCTCAAGATCATATGCAGCTTTGATACACAAGTAGGTTTGGGCACATAAGCAGCTAATGACAGAATTGTTTGACTTTTCCTGGGGAGACATGAACAAATTCTCTTCACCTCATCTAGGGTATCAATGACAGACTACAGAAACAGTTCTACCCAAGTCTGACTTTACAAACCCATGATTTATTGAGGTTACTTACAGATGCATGGACGGAACATTAAAGGAACAGCAAAGGCAGCTGTATCACTGAAAAGCCCAGTCCAGGATGCTAGGACTTATGAGAGCTGCATCCCTGGAGCTCCCTGTGTGTCATATAGGTGGCATGTAGTTAGTTCCACACACACACAGAAGATTCTCTTTTATTTCTCTAGTACTATTCACATGACCTCACGGAGAGGCCTTGTGATGCTCCCTATAGAAATGAATGTTACAATAGGAGATATATGCCTAGTAATGTGCCCTTCCTTCAGCTTTGACACACTTTCTGCCACCCTTTTATGATATTCCTTGAACTTTGATGGGGATAATATAAGTGCCTTGAAATTTTCTTCCAATTATAACTACACATTAAGTCTCATTATACATAGAGTCACATATTCTCAGTAATTTGACCAAGTATGAGTCATAGTATCGAGCACTTATAACAACAAAAAGAAGTTTTGTAAAGAAAAATATTTAGAAGCCAATTTGACAGGCAAGACAACTAGTATAGGTATAGGACTTTTCAGTAGTGTAAAAGCCATGGAATATGAAAGGAGCTTCTATCTTAGTTTCAGCTTCAATTTTCAATATTCTAAAACCAAATGTGCAATGTTTTTGGCAACAGGGACTTATTCTTTATGTCTGGCATCAACCAATAGCAGGAATTGCAGACTTGGTGGTTTGTGAGAATTCGGGGGCCTCCGTGTCATACTTAGATGTGACTTTGGATTTCACCTGGCTTAAGATCACTTGCAAAGAGTTTCAATTGAGCAATTTTCTTTATCAGGAGGTCTGTAGGCTTGTCTATGAGGGATTGGTCTTGATTGTTAATGGAGGTAAGGTGGTTATGGTTTAAGAAAGCTAGCTAAGTCTGAGCCTGAGAGTGAACCATAGAGTAAGCTGGCAAGCAGCATTCCCCCATAGTTCCTGTGTTGAGTTCTTGCCTTGACTTTTCCAGGTGATGGATTGTGACCTGGAAAGGTAAGATGAAACATACCATTTCCTCTTCTAAGTTGCTTTTTGCCAGAGTGTTTTATCATAGCAACAGAGATGTAATTAGAACAGGGGGTAACCTATTCCTGGCACCAAGGTTTTTATTTAATAACATGGATTCTTCGAGTGCCTTCCCCCCCACTCAAACAGAGTGCCCTCACTCAGCATCTTTAGCATCTGTTTTCACTGTTCCTTTAGATGTGTTTCCAAATTTGTAGCATACCCAAGACATTCAAAGGCATTATGTAATGAAACCTTTTTATAGATGGCAGGATGCCTTAAGGCTTACCATTACCCACTTTAAGAAAGTGCCAATTGGTTTTTGGATTTAGAAGCTAGAGTTAGACTTTTCAAAGTGTAGGGTGGACCTTGAAAAGAGCATTAAAGAATCTTACCATCTGTATCAATTGTTTTATAAAAAGAGCCTTGTTGAATAGAGTGGAATGGATGGAAAGCATGACCATATTTAGCCTTCTTCAATCTACTTGTTCTCCATTAGCTGTCCTTGCTTCCTCATCCCTGAGCACTGTTGTGTGACCTCTATGCATCTCTCTACCCTAGATGGTTTCCACTGGGCTGCCTTACACTGCTTGGCTAAATGTGGGTTATGGCTGCACTCTCATCAGCTGTTCAAGCACAGACTCAGGTCCAATGCTGAGGCTGTTATCACTCTTTCAGTCTTATATGGCTCCATGAAGTAATCCTGGGCTAGGCATACAATCAATACCCCCAGTATAATTTTCTTGTAGGGGAGAGACGTACACAGAATAATTGCCTACTTCTAGGACAAGCAATCCTTTTTAGCTGTACCACTCTGTCTTCCATCCTTTCTTCCATGTCTTTGGTGAGCTGGTGCTTAGTCATCAGAGCCTGCTTGGGGTTCACTACACAGCATTCAGTGTTCAGGTTTACACTAAGAAATCTGTCTTTACACATATCTTGTCACATTGGATATTGGGTGTTCTGGA